AGATTCCAGTGTTCTGATTCTGGTCGGTCCGGCCCTGCGCTGTGAGGGCGTTGAATTGCCCGCTCAGAGGGAGGCGAGCGTAGATGTTGCAGTTTTGTAAGACGACAGCAGCGTTGCCGAAGATGAAGTCAACCGTGCCATAGATGTCGCATTCTCGGTAGAATTGGCGGAGGGAGTGAGCATATAGAGTGTCTTGGTATCCTTCGAATATGCAGCTGTAGAACGTTGTCATGTCGGCGCTCACTCGCAACGCCACGGCTTGGTGTTTGATGGCGCCGGCGGTATTGGTGATGGTTAGGTTTGCCCCGAAGAACCCTGTTCCCTCCACGACTGCCAGCAAGAAAGATAGAATTTTAAAGATGATCCTAATTATTCATAGTTTCATATCATTAATAGATTTAAATTCTTGAAATCTTAAAATATTTGGATCCGTTTGAAAAAAACTAGGTGTTAAACACGTTTGAAAGTTCATAAACCTATTGTTGGAAATATGAAGTATAACAGCTCAAGCTCCCTGTTAGTAGATGTTGTTCACTTTGCCCCGTTACGTATTAACGTCAACATCACGGTCTTAAAACGCGGATGTTAGGGAGAGGTTTCCATACCCTTGTGAGAAATGTTTCGTTTTTCTCTCCAACCGCTGTGGGATCTCACAATCCACCCTCCTTGGGGGCCCAACGTTCTCGCTAACACACCGCTCGGTGTCTGGCTCTGATACCATTTGTACAATCCTGAGCGGTGTGTTAGCGAGGACGCTAGGTCTCCAAGGGGGATGGATTGTGAGATCCCACATCGGTTATAGAGAGCAACGAAGAAACTTATCCCTAGTGCACACATTTTAAAATTGTGAGGTTAAAAGTGATACTTAACAAGCTAAAGTGGATAATATCTACTAGCAGTGGACTTAGGCTGTTACAAATGATATAAATTAGGCAACAAGAACGTTGAGCTCCCGAAGAGAGGTGGATTATGAGTTCCTACATTGGTTGGAGAAGGGAACAAAACATTCTTTATAAGGGTGTGGAAACCTCTTCCTAGTAGACACGTTTTAAAATTCTGAAGTTGACGACGATACAAACAAGTCAAAACAGACAATATCTACTAGCGGTGGCCTTTGGCTATTACACAAAGATAATGGAAGAGAGACTTCAGCTCAAATTTGAGCTTTTGAAACAAAGGGTTTTTTTTTTCTCTTTCGATCAATTTTGAATACGAGGGAAGAGAAGTCAACTCATATTGTTTCGTCGTAAATATTAATATAAAATGCCAGAGAGATTCATAAATTTTAAAATTAGGAATACGTTGAAAGAGGAACTCACTGACGGTCGCGCTATTGAAAGTAGTAGAGCCATCAACGACGTTCTTGTTCCCGGTGATGATAGTTCTGTTGTTACCTTCTCCGATCATCAACACGTACTTTTTACTTTTCGGAACCACTACGCTTTCCATGTATATCCCGGCGGTGACGAAGATCAAAAAGTACCCGTTCGCGGCGGTGGATTTGTTGGGAGCTGCCGCAATGGCGTCATTGATGGTGGTGAAGTCATATGCTCCATTTTGGTCCACAGCAACAACACCTATTGAACAAAGAATCAATGTAGATTAAGAAAATAATAACAATAATCAAATTTGCATAAGAAAAATTCAAGTGTTCGTACCATTGACCAAAATGCCATCATCAGCATTATTGGTCTGAAGAAGCCTTCGAGCCGCTGGCTTCTTCCCATGCATCAACCGCTCATAATAGGCGCGGTCCTTGGGCGACATTTTGAGCTTCAACGGACCATTCCCGAACCCAAAATGGTTAGTTTTTGGCAACTTAGGAGCCTTCATGGTCTTAGAAACCCAACCCATTTTGAACAAAGAAAGGTACAAACTATAAAGCTGTCTATCAAAGGAGATAGCTTTCACCACCTTATCAACCAAGCCCAAGCCCGAGCCCGCTAAGCCATCATGACAAGTATCTACATTGGTGATCACTGCGCTAAGCAACGATATCATCTCATCGGCTTGGTAAAACGGAAGGGCATTGGTCGTGGTGTTGACGGTGTTGACGGTGCTCGATATGAAGTCGAGGTTGGCCATGGCGAGGGAGCGGCAATCATGGAGGGCCGAGAAGGAAGGCAAGAGGGTAAGTTGGAGATCGACGAGGGTTATGAAGGTGCGCGCTTGGACCAGGGCGTGATGGAGAGTGTAGCGACAATGGGAGTGGACGGAGGCCGGGGAGGAGGGGAGGAAGGATTTGCAGAAGGACGGGGAGGTTGCGGATTGGCAAACCTCGACCGTCGGAACGGCGGAGGACGAGGTGAAGAGGAAGAGGAAGAGGAGAGAGAAGAATGTGAGGAGAGAGATGGGATTTGAAGAGGAGGCCATGTTGGTGTGTTTTATGGGTTTGATTGAGATTGGGTTATTTATAGGAAGCAATTTGTGTAATGAGAAGGAGAGAAAGAAGGAAACGTGCATGCAAGTATATGTATATTATATTATATGAATATGGTTTAGTTGCATACACAAAGGCCAATAACTTTGAGGTTTTGCCAATGTTCATTGTCCACGTCTTATCATATGCTCCTTGTCGACATCTTTCGATACGATTTATATATATATATATATACTACGATCGTTCTTAAACTATTAATGAATTATGATAATTACACGGTTTAATTTTTAGTTTGATCAATCATCTTCTCAAATTATGAGTTTTGTTAGAATTGCACCCGTGAATTTTGTATTTGATCAATTATTTTGGATTTGTCAAGTGTTGTAATCGGCTCCTTTTATTAGGATTAGAGATGTTCATAGAGCGAGACAGGGACAGGGAAGTTTTCACCATCTCCGTCTAAGAATATTTGTTAAAACCACCGATGGTGTGAAAGTTATCTATTTATAATCAAATAAATTATGAAATAAAAAGATATCTATAGTAAGAATGCAGAGGTTTGTCTTGTAATAAAATATGAAATATGATATATATGGTAAACTATAATTTAGTACTAAATATTCTTAACACTCGCGTAAACTGAGTGTCAGATTTGAACGAACGTGAAGCTTGGATCTGAAAAATTCAAACAGAATTCGGGAAACATTTTTAGTGAAGAAGTCAACAACCTAGTTTGGAGGAGGCGTAGAGAAACACCTCTTTGTTCTCTATTTCATTTTCTATCCCCACGAAATTTTTCTCTATTTTTCTTTTTTTAAACGGTTCTTTCAAAGAATGTTTTTTAATAGTTCGTTTTTATTTTACAATATAATGTTTACAAACAAAAATGTAATATTCTTTCAATATAATTTTTAAAAATCAAATTTTAATATTATAACATAGTTTGAGTAGACAAAGTTTGAACTGTCTTTTGCTTAATGACCTATTTGTAGAAAATCAAAACAAACAAAAAAAAAATTGTGTGTGTGTGGACGTGTGTGTGTGCAGGTGCGTGTGCGTGTGGGGGTGTCTGTGTGTGTGTCGTCCTCGACTCTGTTTATCTATTGAGTAGAAATTTCTCTCCACTCTTGTTAAAATATCATCACTAGGCCAACAGTGTGAAGCCCCAATATAATTGTAAGAGTCTATTGTCCTTTTACGAAAATGATTAGAGACACTAGATATTTATTTAGATATTTTAGGAATAAATGATTAGATATTTTAGAAATAAATTATTACCCTTTAATTTAACGAAGGTTTTCATCTCAAGAAATTCTAAGCAGTCTCAAGCACAACAGGGTGTAGTAGTTTCTATAGTGTCTTGTAATCTCTTCTTAATTGGTGTTAATAAAGAGTTGAGTGTTTCAACAAAGAGTTGTATTCAACAATATGGTATCAGAGCAAGGTTGTAGGTTGTTTGATCTCTTGAAATTCATACTATGGAATGTGATTGCAGCTCTGTCTAGTCTTCCACATCATGAACGATTTATTGAGATTATTAGTGAGTTAGTTTCTTTGTGTCATGAGTAGTTTGTGACTCTCCAAAATTTGTGTCAAAAAAACTTGTTTGTTATTATTGAGGTATTGTCAACACGATAGTGACTTCCAAGTCGTTGGAGGAATTAAGAAACTCAACAACAGTAACTAACACACGTGGGCAACATGCATGATATCATATTTACAATGATAGAACCTTTAGAAGGTCGTTGGCGGGAGTGAAACTACTCCGCCAGAGAATGATTCTAAAGGTGCCTTGTACAAATGGAGAAATCAAAACATCCAAAGCAATGTTAGCCTTGAATACCACAATCGAAGAAAAGATGTTGGGGCACATTTTTGGGATAACAAGACACCGAAAGAAGCATGAGACATGTTTGTGGTGTTGTTCTCAAAGAAGAACGATATGAGACTGCAACTTCTAGAGAATGAGTTGTTATCAGTTTCACAACAGGCATGACGATTGCTCCGTACTTCCACAGGGCTAAGTCGATATGTCGGGAGATTACTAAACTAGATCCAAAATTTGTCATTGGAGAAGCTTGAATGAAGAGAATCATTATCCACGGATTGCAACTAGAATACAGAAGTTTCATTAATAGTAGAGTTTGAAAATTTTGTTAGCTAGCTAAGAAACCATGACTAATCAAATGGGAGACATCACATTAAAAGGTGAAGAAGAAACACAAGTGAAAGTCGAGGCAACAATAAGTTATCTACGAAATGTGGATACAAAAATGGACAAAGAAAGAAGTCACTAATGAACTACAAAACCTTGAAAGAAATTTGAAGATATTTGCTACAATTGCAAGAAGAAGGGCCACATATCTAAAGATTGTTGGTCCAAGAAAAAAACCCATTGAAAGCAATGTGGCAACTCCAATAAGGAGATGGAGGATGAATGAGATGCAAATGTACTATATGCCATAGAAGAAGACGAGCTAACACTCATTGTAGTGATGGAAGAGCATATCGATTACAAGAATGACTAGATCATTGATACAAAATGCTCAAACTACATGACTGATAATCAAAGTAGTACAATGGAAGTAGGTGGCCCTCGGAGAAGAAAGTATTACCCAGATTTGGACAACATTTAAGACATTCTTCCACAAAAGACGGGGAGCAAACTATACACATTTTCTTAAGGGTCGTTACATTTCTCTAAGCCGAAGCTAATTTTAAAAGAACCTATAAACCAAGTCAATGGGTGCCTTGATCACAATTTAAGTACATTAACCCACATCCATATAAAGAAGAAACAAAGAAGTAACGAGATCTTGGTGTTCATCATAGATTATCATAAATAGATATAGACAATAAGAGTTATAGAGAATAAGAGTTTCTCATATCTCTATTTTCCAAAGCTAATCAGCTGTTGGATGCCTTGCCATTTTCTGAAGGATTACTGTCCTTGCCTTGGTTACATCTGAGCTGCATTTGGCAGCATGAACACTCAGCTTCTCAATGGTCTCATCAAAACCATCAAGGTTTTTCTTGATCTCGTCTATTACGAGCTGCATAGCACTGAGTTCCCGAATGCCAACATCGGCATTCTGCAACAACGAATCTAACTTATTCGATAATCTCCGCACGAGCACATCAATGTTCTGAAGGTCCTTCAGAATTATGTAAGTGTGACCTTCCATAGAGCTCATAAATTGCTTATCGGCTTTGATGCTGTTCAAGTAACGATTCCATAGCGTGTTACACCATTTACCGATCGGCCCCATCGGAACAGCCAATGTAGTAGCCAATGCAATCACCACAGGAGGTGCAGACATTGCAGCTGCTACAATGGAGAAGATCAGAACCGATGCAAATGCAGTAATGAAAATGACATTCGACACTCTCTTCCATGTCTTCATGGAGCTAAATTTCTTGTCGAGCTTCGTCTTTTGAGATTGCAAGTCATCGAACGTCGAAACATGCCGATCATACAACGACTTAAGCAACTTCCCAAACTCCTTACCAAATGGATCCCCTGCCTCTTGGAACTTCTTCAACTGCTCAAATGTCCTAACATATCTCTCACCATCACCTCCATTCTCATAACTCTCAAACTGTCGGACAGCGAGCTTAACAATGAACTGGCTATCCCGACTCCGTCGTAGACTTCTCTCCAATGCCGCACAGAAATCTAACATTTTGAGACTGTTATCAAAGAATGTATCCACAAGCCTAAACAATTCTTTGTTGCTCCACACATCCTCTTTACTTTCAAGGATAATCTTGACAGCATCTTCATTCATTTCCAGTAAAAAGTCAGTGATCTCCATGAGTGCATCGAACGATAACGAACCGACCTCGACTCTGTTCGCAAGCGAATTGAGAGCTCGGCTCGTTCGTTCCTGCACTCGAACATCGAAGGATTGCAAATCTGGATTGTTTTCATACTCAGATTCATAAGAACTAAAAGCAGCTGCATACTGAGAATCAACATTGGTGGGGAAGGGAGTAGGAGAAATATTTCCACCACCTGATTTGTTCTTACTAGATTGTCCTCCCAACATTTCCAGACTATAATTTTGACCTCAACAAAATTTCCGAAATTGGAAATTTCTCACTAACACAAGAACAAGCTCGAATCTCAAAAACAGAACAACTAAGCCAGCAAACAAGTTTACAAGATCTAAGAGAGTAAAAAATTCCGAAACGCCATCTCAAATTTTCAGTCAAACAGAGTAAAATACTAAAAAAAATCCACAAAATTCAGCGTAAAAGCTCAAGAACAGCCGCCATTAATTCAAAAGAAACGAGATACCTCAGTTCGTGAGAAGAATCGAAAACATCCAACGAATCGAAGAGGAGAACGATGAAATCCAAAGAAACCCTAGAAAATGGAGGAGGGGATCTCGGCGAGGAAGACGGTGAAAGAAAACATTCATTCATATATGAACAGCAATCATTTCGTTGCTCTTCCAATCACGCGCCGTTGAATTTTCGTTCTGTTCATCTTTTTGGGTGCGGCTTCGTGGGCATATCGAGGACTTGAAATTTCCAACGACTTCCTTCTCAAGTCGTCACTTTTTCATGATCATGAACTAAGATTTAAAGATTAAACACTAAATCGCTATTTAATCAAATATATACTCTGAATTTAACCAAATATATTGGTTCAGTTTCATTAGATTAGATCTTAATAAATGTTGCAAATTTTAATCTTTTCATGATAATTTTGATACAAAGTTCATCCGCAATAAATTTTTTGGGATTTTGTTGAAAGATTCAATTGATTTTGTATAAAATTTTAGATTTTTATTAACCTAAAGTCGCTACCGCCTTCTCAACATGAGTGATTATGAGAAATCTAACTCTTAAAACATCATCGTAATATCATAAGTTCATCTTAAAACCTATCATCATCATTAAAAATACTGTCATGATCTTATGTGTTTAAAAACATAATTAAGAAACAAAATTAAAAATGATAATAATAAATAATTCAAAAACATGAAATGCATAACAACTTATTTTAACCCAAGTTTGGAAATTTAATTATGCTACTAGCCTATGCACGTGCTATGGTCTTTAGTTGCGATGTCGTTGTTAGTTGTATAAGGGTGCTTTGTCTTACCTGAAAATGATGTAGCACACGGCCTGAGTATTTCAAAAAATACTCAGTAAGTGACTCCACTATAGGGGCCGTAAAAATGCAAACACATACAACTCATGCTTTAGAGACCTACCGTTAAAACATCTTAGGGGTGGCCTCCATTCTCGACTAAATTTGATGTGCAGTACTTCCTTACACACGATCCACACGTGCGAGCGTGAATCTCCAAATGATCGCACCCACCTGGACCCATCATAGTCGAGCTAATTGTCCGTAGTAATGTTTGGAGGTCAACAAACCCTTGTGTGTCATGCACGGAATGATCACCATCATCATCGTAGCGTACGTGTCCGTAATCATCATTGTAAAAAGGGAAGTATCTTGAGGTTTATGTACACACATAAATGCATGAGGTCCCTATGGTTTCTCGTTTTTAAAACATATTTATGACACAACCCTAATTCCATCTATATATTACTATAAGTAATATATGTGCATTAATCTTACAGTCATATTAAGGAAATAACATCATCTTACATCTTCGTGTTAACATGCATCGTCATCATAAACACATCATAATCATTGTAAAACATCATAAGACGTCATCATATAACTCATACACGTCATCATACATCATAAATCATCATCAAGGTATCATAAACATAAACCATAAAAGACACGTGTGGGAGTCACTAGGCATGCATCATCATACATCAAGCAGTGGTTTAGCCTATCATATAGTAAGGTCACTTAATTGTTTGACCTTAGCTAGTGTTTCCCTAAATTCGAGTTTGCTAATCTTTCGTTCCTCGAAGCTGCTCCAAATGTCGTAGGGGATCGTTTCCTATTAGGTCGTTCATTGCCTTTCGTTAGTACTTCACAATTCTAATATAAATTCAACTTGAATTTTGAAAATAGAGCATCATACCGATCGTGCCACGTGTCACCGTGGGAGAGGGATGCATCGCAATTTCCTTCTGGGGTCGAAGCGTGGGCTCGAGTTACTAATTCGGGCATGCGGGTGCTGGCCTGTTGCAAGCCTGGTCAACGCGGCTAGTGGGCCTTGGGGGAAATAGAATCGGGTGTTGGGTCGACGGTGTTGTAGTGGGTTGGATCGGGCGATTCGAGTTGGTGCAGGTTAGATCCGGATCTGATGGATCCTTTCTTCTTCGTCCGATTTCTAAGATATTCCAATGCCGTTTCTCGTCCTTTTTCCTCCTCTACCTCTCTGTTGGCCTCTCTTCTTCACTCCCACAAGGTTCCGCAACATGTTAACACCTACAACAACTAGATCCATGAGGCTCCAAAAACTCGCAACTTGGATTTGAATTTCGATGAAGCACAACATCGTTAAAGCATATAAGACTTACCTCTCGTGTAACTGCAATCGTCTCACACCGTGGATGGGTCATTTCGACATCGGGTTTGTGAGATCAACCTTGCTAGAAAACTTCGACCTTTTGTCTCTCTTGCAGATACTCTAGGAGCGTGGTTGAGAGTAGTGGGGGTGCATGGCTTTCCGTGAGGGTCACGGGGTCGTGAGGTCTAGATTGTTTTTTTGTTGTTAAATCTCGACTTTTGTATCTTTCGAATATCATTATGATTCAAACTTTGATGTACCTAAACATAATTGTATGAAAATTTATATGAAATCATATTTAAGTACATAAAACACTACAATATTTTAGGATTTTTCGAATGTCAAGAAAAACGTGGTAAAAAAAGTCTCAATATTTTCTCTTTCTTACTTTTTCCAATGCTTTTTATAAGCCTCAACACAAATAGATACGGACACAATTAGTCTTTAAAAAAGCGGACAAATCAAGAAATTTAATGTATTTAGTGCCTAATTAACTCCAAACTTAACTTAGCAGGAGGGTGTACATTCAATCCAACAACTTGGACCAACCCAACCCGAATTATAAGAACTTGGACCAACCCAACCCGAATTATAAGAGTTGGATTGGGTTGGATTCATTTTTTTTAACACGGTTCAGTTTCGGGTTCGTGGGACAAAACCTTCGAGTTGACCCGAAACAAATAAAAATATATAAAATATATTAAAAATCTTTTCATATTAATGAGTTCGCCTGATTGGTACTTTGGCCAGTCTATGGACAATCACTCTCCCGAGTTTGACGTCATGCAAATGCATGTTTCTTTGTTTAATTCTTTTTTATATACAATATCTTTAAATTAATTATTTTTATGGTTTATTTAATAATATTTTCTTGGACTCAAGTAAAAGTATGTTTTTTTGTTTAATTTTTTTATTTTTTTGTTATATATAATATCTTTAAACTAATCATTTTTATTGTTTATTTAATTTCATGATCTATCCTTCTATTTTTTTAAATTTAACCAATTCTCAAGAAATGTCTGTATTTAGTTGTCTTTAGTTTTATGATAATGTTGAACTATGTTAATATGTTACCATTTTCTTTTTTATTGAATTTGTTTTTTTTTTATGAATAATTATAGATTAATTTAGGTTTGTTTGTGAACTTTTAATATATTTTATTTAAGATTGTATCCAAATAATTATAAATTGTGGATAAATAAAACTTTTTTAAAGAAAAATTTGACAACCAACTCGAAAAGTTTCGGGTTGGGTTGTGAAAAGTTTCGGGTTGGGTTGGGTTACCAATCCAACCAACCCTTTTGTATTGGGTTAAAAAAATCTTTAAACCCAACCCAACCTAGACCATGTACACCCTTAGTATCAAATAAGATGCATGTGTTAAACTATAATGAAAGGCTAAATATCCTCAACACCTTCTCCCTCTCATGCAAGTCGAGAGTTGGATTTGAAAGAGAAGTCAAGAATGACTTTTGGTGAAGATGTCAACAATCTTGGAGATAAGAAGGCACATATTATGTGCGAAGTTTGCCAGCAATAAGTTTCAAGCACAGTTGGATGTGCGGTACTTTCCCACACACGACTCATGTATGCACACATGGATCTACTAGGCGAGCTCGTATACGTATTTCTTGGGTCTGACTTGGTCAAGCACATTGCATTTCACATCGTTGGACGCGACAAAAAAAAAAGGCTCGCATGATATCATAACGAACATAAATATCGAAGGTACGCGTCCGTACTAACATACTATAATGAGGAAGTATCTCGATACATGTGACATACATACATGTATGAGGTCTCCATGATTTTAATTCATAACATAACATTAACATCATTCCCTTTCTTCATTCATTCCTGACATATTACATATATGCATCATGTATACATGACAGTCATCACATAATCTATCACATAACTTTACATGCCAAGACATAACATGGCATACATAACATTTCATTTTGTTAATAACATGGATATCATACATACATAGCATCATAGGTTAATGCATAGAACACATAAGTATAGCATAAAATAAAATAACATGGTGCATACAGGAGCTACGGGGCATGCACCATCATACATCATTCAATATCTAACTCCAACAATAAGGTTACTTACTTGGTTGACATTGGCCGAAGTTACAAATTACTCGGTAGCTGTTTCAAAAACTATACTTCAACGTTTATTTTCACCTATGTCAAACCATATCTCAGTTTAGGACATTTTCATATCTTAGTCTAGCTAAATATGACGATTATTTTCAATATAAGTTCTAAAACTATCTAAAATTGAGTAAATGAGAGTTTTCCTGACCTCAATTGTTTTAAACAAGTTCACAAATAATTTCGTCGGAACCTTAAGAAAGAATATAAAATTTGTATACTGAGCCATCTAAGCCAAGAAGTCGACCCACCAAGCCCCCGAGCCGGGTCACTATGTCTTCAACCAAATTCTTCCTACCTAACCACTTGGGTCCTTTTGAAGTTTAATCCACTCATTTATAAAGCATATGGTACACTTTTACAGCTGTCCTCTAAATGGATGACAGAATTTAATTTTTAGTAATTATTTTAGTTTATTCGATTTATAATCATATTATATTTAAAATAGAAGAAAAAAAAATCACCATTTTTGCCTTAATTTTAAAAAAAAATTGTTTCTAATTTAAAAAAAAAAAATTAAATACTTGACTTAAAATTTGAAAATAATTGAAAAATCAATTCAATAAAACTAAAAAAAAAAACTTTAATTTTTTAATATTTTTTAATGGAAATGATTCTACCTCCGTATTTTCCACGTGGTTCCATAATTTTAAAACCTTCGATAAAAGCAGTCACGTGATATTGTCAGTTGTCCACAAAATTTAAATAATAATAATTATTATTATAAGAAGAGAGGAAGAGCGGGCAGTGAGCGGGCAGTGGGGGAGGAGATGAAGATTTCAAAGATGGGCAGCTTCTTCTTCTTCTTCATCTTGCTCGGAAACGCAGCTGCGGGAAGCGGTTTCCCGGGAATCCAACTGCCCGACATTCCGTCGTCGGAAAACCGCTCTGGGTTTTTCATATTCGGAGATTCCTACGTGGATGCCGGAAACAACAACTACATCAATACCACCGGTGA